ATCCACAGTCGCTCTGCCTCTATACTTGTCTTTCCTCTCTCTCTCTCTCTCTCAACATTTCTCTTAAAAGGATGGAGCAAGAGTGACAAAGCAAGCTCAAGAAGCAAGAGGGAAAAAAAATAAAGGCAAAAATGAATGAAGTGGAGAAGAAAAAGTTAACAGAATTCATAAGCTAATTATTTGAAAAGACCAGTGAAATGAAATTCTGGCAGGACTGATCAAGAAAAGGGGTGAGAAAGAAAAATTACACATTGACATGTACAAATATACAATGAAAAGTGGTGGGTACAATCACAGACACAATCAGATGAAAGGATAATGCAGTGAGCCCTTTGAAGCAGCCTTGCTAAAATTTCACATCCACTTCCCATCAAGGTCAAGGTTAAACTATCAATTTATAGGAGTACAGAGGACCAGGGAACATAACCAGAGATAACGATCATAGGTAACCAGACAAATGACATGATTTCTTCAGAAGAGCAGAAAACAAAGTTGGAGGGGAGCAGAAAGTTATAAAAGATCAGTACGTAGGCCAATCACATGCAATATATAGGCTTTTAAGTTTCTTTTAAATATCATTTATGAGACAACTAGAAGTTTATTGACTAGGGGTTTCTTGGTGTTAAGGAATTATTATTATCTGGGGAGGAGGTGGTAGAGTTGTGGAGAGGTTGAAGAAAAGGAATCCTTGTCTTCTGCAGACTTTACTCGGCCATTTTCAGTTATCATGATATTATATCTGAGGTTTGCTTCAAAATAATAGAGGAGATGAGCGTGGAGCTAGAGATGAGACAGGATTAGTCACAAGCTGATAACTACTGAAGCACAGAGGAATCAGTCATCTGTTCTGCCTGTTTTTGTATGTCTTAAGTTTTCTAAAATAAAAGTTTTTAAAGTCTTACAGACAATTGTGCTCTAAACAACATGGAAACCTAAATTATTATTGATAAATTTATTGGGAAATAGTAAATATCAAGATATAGAATACTTGACTACACCAAACAGCATCAAAGGTTGAAATGGTAATCAGAGCTTCCCTCCCCAAAACCCCAGGCCCTGATGGTTTTCCAGATGTGTCCTAGTCAATTTTCAAGAGACAGATCATCTTCAGCTCATCAAAAATTGTTTCGGTAAATGAAAAATGAGAAAAAACTGTCAACCAGTTTTGTGCAGTTAATGTAATCTTGGCTCAAAACCAGATCAGGACACTACAAAGGAAAAAAAGGTAAGCCCACTTCACTTATGAATGAGAATGCAAAAAATAAAATACTGGCTGAATAATCTAACATGTACTAAAAGATATAGTTTATCCCAGCAATAAAGGAAGATTTACCAGAGAATGCATAAAAGTTATTCATCACAGTAGACTAAAGTAGGAAACCCATGCATCTCTTTCAATAGATGCAGAAAAAGCATTTAATGTAGTACAACATCTATTTAAGATTTTATAATTAAAAATCTTAGCAAACTAGGAATAGAATAAAGAATAAATAAGTACCTAAAGCCAGTACCCAAAAATCTACATCAAACATTTTTCCTAATGGAGGAATTTAGGCACATTCCTTTTAGGATTGGGAACTAGACCAAAATGTACAATTACTGCTACTATATAACAGTGCTGAAGAGTCTAACCAATGTGGGAAGAAAAGGGGAAAAAAGAGGTTTAGTGAGTTGGAGGAAAAGATAAAACTGCAATTATTTATGAAGTGTATGATCATCTACAATGACAAACCAACAGAATAAAAAAACCCATTAAAATGAATAACAAAATAGAGCAAGGTTATCAAAAATAAGATCAACTTAATAAATTTCTAAGGTTGCTCTATGCCAGTGGTTCTCACCTAAGAGCCATTTTGCCTCTCAGGTAGAGTTGATCAATTTAACAAGTTAAAATTTTTAAAGATATTGCCATTCTTATTTCAGTTAAATTTGGATTTCAGGCAATAATAATTTGGTAAAACATGTCCCATACAGTTTGGGAGATAAAATACTGGGTTTCCATGTTTTCTGTGGCAACCCCACCCTCAGGGAACATTTGGCAATGTCTGACGACATTTTATCACAACTAGGGAAGGAGTGCTACTGGCCTCAGATAGGTGGAAGCTAGGAATGCGGCTCACATCCTGCACCGCGCAGGACAGCCCTCACAGTGAGCATTACCCAGCCCCAAACGGTAATAGTGCCGAAGTTGAGAAACCTTGTGATAACCTACCAGAAAATGTAATAAAACTCAAAGATTATGCACAGTAGGAACTGTCTGAGGATTGTTCCTTAATCAGTAATTCACAAAGTCTCTATAGAGAAAACTGTGAACCTAAGAAAAAGCAGAGATGGTTGTAAAAACACAGAGAGATATTCCATGCTCTTGTGAACACGTGACAGGTCGGTTCTACCTTCAAAATCGGTAAATTCTTTGCGACTCCAGTCAAAATGTAAGCTGGTATTTTTCAGAGGTTCAATAAACTTATCCTAAAATTTACATGAAGGAATAGAGGATCTTGAAGAGCACAGCTGACTTTGAGGGAAGAAAATAGCGGAGAATTGCCTTGCTAGATATTAGGGCACACTGGAAGCCGTGGTAAATGGGACAGTGTGTTACTGGTTCAAGAACCAGAAAGGAGCACTCAGAGACAGACCTTTGTGAACTTAACATATTTCAGAGCTGTCACCCATCAGCAGGAAAGGGCGGACTAACTCACAACTGACATGAAAAAAATAAAAATACAAATTGGCCCTACCTGATACTATATAGAAAAATGGACTTCCTAAGGGTTCTACACTAACCCTTTCATGTCAAAAGTAAAACTAAATAAAACTAATAGAAGCCAATGTTAGTGGGCTAAAAATGAGGGGGAAAAAAACACAAAAGGATTGGTGGTTTTGATAATGTCAAAAGAAAGGATTCCTTGTCAGCCAAGGTTGCAGGTGGACCAAAATAACAGAGTGAGAGGAGATTCTCACCCTACCTCAAGCGAAGGCAGAGTGACGTCCAGATGAAACGAGGGACTCTGGCAAGTCAGCAAGGAGGAAGAGCGAGGCCTGCATGAAAAATCAGCAAACAGTGTGAATGGGCAATGAACCGCCACAAACCTAAAAAGCCAAGAAACATGTAAGGGATGCTCAGACTCATAGTAGTTAGAAAAATGTGAGTTAAAACAACAAACAATCTCACTTCACACTCGGCACATTAATAAAAATTAGAAAGCTGGATAATGACCTGTGTTGCTGGAGATTCTCTGCTGGAGGGAATGGGGTACAGAGGCTGGGGGCAAGGTTTCAGGGGAATAACTTGGCAGTATGGGGTCAAATTAAGCACATACACAACCTATAATTCAGCTGTCCTGCTCCTGGGTACATGCCCAGAGAGATTATCAGAGACGATGAAGGGGATGTGGGCAAAGACGCTCACTGTGATGATGCTTGTGGTCGGAGGAGAGTCAATCACGTGTTCACCATTGCGAGTGTGGGTGGGAAACAGCCTGCACACATGCAGGAACTGGAATGGGTCAGATGTGCACAGAGGAGCATCTATGGGTCTTTAAAGGCACGACAGTGGGAAAAAACAAAAAAAGCAAAGACTTTCAGCCAACAGCATTTTATAAATTAAAAAAGAATGCATGCAAAAACAATATATGCTTCACAAAGACACAAAAATAAGATGCACTTCAACATGATCGTGTGGTTGCTGATCGTATGAGTGGAGAATGGGAAAGAGGCATGAGGATAAAAAGGAGTAAGATAGTAAAAAGGCAAGAAAGCTCCTTGCAAAGATTAGAAAATTCCCTGAACTGAGGAGAGTAATTCAGCTTTTGGCACCTAGGGCCCAGACTCCAGAAAACAAAGCAACAAAGAACAGAAGGCGTGATGGGCTTGGCGGAATCCAGAAGAGAGATTTCCACGCCACGAGCCACGTGGGGAAAGACTGTCCATTGTTTGAAGGAAACTGTTTTCCCCAGACGGGAAAGACCCTCATGGAGGAGAAGGAGTTGGGCAGGAAGGCAGCCCTAGGGAAACTGTGATCAGACTCTCCAGTGCAGGAACCCGTTTTAAGTTACGCTGAGAACAGTCCCTTCTCAGCATCTGTCCAGTATGATAACGGGTCGGGAAGTAAGGGGAAGTAATGGAGAGCAGCTCTTCCCTGAGGCCCTGCAGTGGGGGCAGCAGCCACCTTGGGAGGGCGAGTAGCCACAGCTGCCCTGAGCAGCAGCCTGCCATGGCTGGCCCTGCACAGCCCGCTGCTCCCAGGGCGAGTGATGAGGTGGAGCTGCTGAGGAAAGGCCATTACCACAGAGACCTCATTGGCGTGCTCAGTCCAGCACAGCAAAGGGAACGTTCAGGAAGCACATCATGCCTCTTGTGCATGAGAATGCTTCCTCACCTCCCCAATCCAAAGTCAGAAAAATCAGATCTAATTTCAGTGTCTTTTCCCTCGCCACTAGCGAGGCTGAATTTTGTGTTTGGGCTATCCTACGTCCTGTTAGCCTTGGTCAGCCTCCTCCCTCAGTTACATGCAACGGCAATGTCAGCAGGTGTCACTAGGGACTTGTAAAACTTACTACCCAGGTTTGTATTTTGCTTAATGAGGAGGGGGAAAAGGTTAGTAAGGAGAGGACAGAGGCAAGTGCTTTTTAATTTTTTTAATTAATTGCTTTTAAATTATAGTTGATACAGGCAAGTGCTTTTTAGATGTTCACGTAAGGGCTTTATGTCCTGCATCCGAGTCACCCATGCCTGGAGAGACCAGCATGGTTCTTCAGTGGTGCTTGAAATCTAAAGGCTCAAAGACAGCCTAGGAAAAGCCATCGCTCTTCCAGTTCCATTAAGACTGAATTTCTGGGAAGAGAAATACCTGCAGTCAAGGCCAAGTCTTGGCTGGACGCCATGCAAGCACATGCAGTCAAAATTGAAACACCCATCAATTGTTCAGACTGGCCAGAAAACACTAATTACTCCCCAAACATGACTGCACTCTTGAAAATGCTCATGAATCACACACTGAGTATTTTGAAAAATGTTAAAATTTATTAATAGTAGTTAACATTACATAGTTAATTCAACTAGTTCTTTATTGTGCATGACAACATCTTCACTAGACTGAGTGCTTGAGGATTTGAGATCCACTTATGCAGTACATCCCAGTCAAAGGTGGATATTCAGTGTATTTACATCAGGCAAAGCAGCGTCACCGAGGAACTGTCACCTATTTGTGGGAAGACCAACATTCAAATGCATTTTCCAGCATTCCTTTTTGGAAACCAGCAACACACATTTAATAGTCATACATACAACTCTACCTTTAAGAAAATGTGCAATCTCATAGACGGTGCTTCTTTTTCAAGTTTAAAAGTTAAAATTTCTACCTATTTCTTAGGCATACCTAAATCTAGACACTCTTCTCAGTACAAGTTTGATGAACGTGTAAAAACTGGGTGCTTTTGTCGCATCTTACCATATTTGTTTGAATCCTTGCATCATATTCAATAGTGCCACAAGGCATTTCCTCTATCGTTTAGTATTCAGGCTTGATGTGTGTGGGTATGTGTATTTTAGGGCAAGTGGGCTTTCAGATTCACAATCAACTGCACTCTCTTGAAAATAGGGTCTGGAAGGCTTTATGCCACTCCCACCCCCAGATGTTTGAAATAAATACCTACCGTGTATAAAAACAGCTCAGCCTAGAGAAGCCAGTACACACCGGACATGGAAAACAAAGGCTTCTTATAAGACATTTAGAAAACCGATTTTGTGAGGAGGTCACAAATCCACCCAAAGTGTTGTCCCTGAGGTTTTGTTTGTTCAATTATTTTGGTTTGGTTTTGCTATCAAGAGTTAAACACAACTTTTTAAAATGTTTTTGGTAGCTTCCTTTGTCTTGTTAGAGATTTAAAATACTACTGACAGCCCTAAGGATGTAGTTTCCTGAACAATGAGTCTGTTTGAAACGATTGCCATCTCCTTTGGTTAGCATCCAATGTGATATTGTCCCGGCGCAGTCTCCAGACAGAGTAGCCATAGATGCTGTGGCTTCTTCAGGGCACAGGCTCTGCCTCTCTCATTCTGCAGGGAAAGGAGCCAGGAAGGGCTGTTTGCCCATTGGCTCACTCACTCTGAAGAGGCTCCCCTTCTCTTCCTGCAGGCGAATGAGGTATTTCTAGTAACCAGTCCATATCTCGCCTTCTATCCTTTAACTATACTAATCTACTAATGAGGAAACCTTGTGTGTCTATATACATAACAAATTAACATATAAATACATTACATACAGTGTCAAGATGAGGGAGCAAATGTACTTCATGAACTAAATACATTTCAAACATAAATTAAGATGAAAATACAGTTGTTTCCACTTCTGCAAGAAAAAAATTTAAAAACAGACCAAAGAAGTCCCTCTCCCAAAGGTCCATTTCTCATGGATAACTCATGAACCCACGAGGAGATGTGAAAACAAGCCCATTCGCAGGATGCATCAACTTGGGGCTTCCGTTTTGCTTGCTCCAACTTAGGATGCTTTGCTTCCAGGGACAACATCCACAGGAGCCCACCAGGCAAATGCTCGAGGCTGAGACTGAAGAGGCACAGCCACATGGCCACCCATGGACTCCATGGATTTCCCTCCACTGCTGCCTCTCCCTCACCACCCACGTTCTGCCTGTGAAAGAACCAGACTCAAGTTAGTGGAGACCCCCCAGAACTGAGAGGTGAAACAGTACCAACCTCCATGCTGGGGGATGCTATCCATCTAGAAATGTCTGGGTCCAAGGTGAAGCAACGGTATCTTTTCATTTAATGTCCCCATCCTATAGGGATTCTACAGGGACATGGAATTTGGCCAGGGGGTCTACTAAAGTTAAAAATTTGTTTTCAGTTTTAAGAAACAATGGGAATGGTTGTGACAAGTGTGGACAAATCCTTACTTCCAATTGTATTTATCTCAGGAGGGACAAGGCCTGGGCACCTAACTTTCCAGTGAGTAGGAAGAGACAAAACCCCAAGCGACAGGGTCCTCTCTGCCAAGGGAAAGCCAAGGGGTCTGTCTGTGACACAAGGGACGGCATCTGATAACTTAAAGCAGGGAACAGGAGGAAGCAAAGGCAGTCTCTTCCCATGGACTTTATCGCTGTCCAGCCTCACGGATGCGGCAGGCCACAGCAGTGATGAGAGCTGCACCCTTCCCACTGCCATCCTCTGACTCCAGGAAGGACACATCACATCTCGGAGCCAGGTCCTTTACAGTCTCATGCATCACCTTGGCGAAGCTGGAGAGGTTGGGAGGAGAACACAGAAAGAAGACCTTAGTCATGACTGACTTGTGTCCTCAGAGATGAGACTGTAAGAAGTGAGGCCGGAAGCCCAGGAGTGGTTAAAGTGGGGAAGAGGTTGACAAGCTGCCACATATTAGACACTTACTGTGTACTGTGTATCGGAAAACGAGGCTCGGAGAGGCTGGCCATCTGCCCAAAATCTATGCCACATGAGGCAAGTAAGGAGCTAAGATTCAACTGTGGGACAACTGTCTGAGATTCTGGGGAATTGTGTTCTTAAAACTAATCAGGGAAAGAGAAGTCATGGAAGCTGCAAGTATGTTGATAAGGTCTGGAGGGAAGGACAAAGCCCCACACATTCTATTTTCCGAGAGTATGGACTCACGTCTAGCTCAAAATGCCATTAAAGATAAAAGGAGCAGGCTTAGATGGGACTTCATGATGGGACAGATCATTTTGATACGGGGCTAGAGAAAGGGACTGTCATCATCTGCCCCAGCACAGCAGGGTCAGGATGGCCGGCCCCATCTGTGAAACCAATAGCTCGGCTCCTGCCACCCCAGTTCTTATCTGACACTGACACTCCTATTTTCAGAGATACTGATCACCAAGGAAAAGGCCTTACAACTTCTTCAAGGGCCACTCTTTTCACTAATTACAGACTCTGGGCAAGTCTCTCAACTCCTTGAACCAATCACGGTGAGAGCAGGCAACAAGTCATTTGAGGGGTCAGTCTATCCTCACTCCATCCCACCTACCACCACCCAGGCCAGGCACACAGCTCTGTTCTTTTAACTTTGAGCTGAAGAGCTTCCAGGGGAAAGAAACTGGAGCTCTCCTGACTTCAAAGTAATTTATTCAAACCATATGCAAATGAATGAAGAAGTGAGAAGATAAACGGTTGAAGAGAAGAGAGAAAGGAGCAGAGACGGAGAAAGATAGGAAAACAATTAAAAGAGAATTTAGCATTTTTATACTTAGGAGGAGGCAATGACATGACACTTTTTCTATAAAGCACCAAATGGTAGATATGCTCTCAGCTTTGTGCACCAACTTTAGAGCGGCCACAGACAATGCATAAAATGAGTGTGTGGGGCTGTGTTCCAATAAACCGTATTTACAAAAACAGTTATGGCTGTAATCTGCCAGCCCTCACTCTAGATTGCAGAAAGAAATCCTGCTCCAGAATTCCACTTTGTTTACTAGAATGTTCACAGGAGCACTGTTTATAACTAGAAATAATCCAAATATCCATTAGCCATAGGATGAACTACAGTATGCTGCCCAGCCCCAAAAATTAATGACCGACAATTGCAAACGTCCACATGGATGCATCTCAAAACCATAGATGCTGTCTGGGGAAAGCCAGTCACAAAGAAGAGAGGCTACACGAGTCTCCAGGATGGCAAGTCCAAAACCAGGCAGAACTAACACATACAGACATACAAAAGGGAGCAAGGGACTGAGCCGCCATCGACTTCCTCCTCCAGGGAAGAGGGGAGGGTGTGCTGGGGAGGGACTCAGGGGGGCTTCCACGCTCAGTACAATGCAGGCCTACTTCTGGTAGTCAATCTTTAAGTCAAAATAAACACATTATATCATTATATACACTCTTCAGAATGTCTGATCATTTGCTGTAAAATAAGGCAGAAGGGAAAGCAAGGAAGAACAGAGAGATGGAGGGAGAAAGATGGACGGGGGAGTGGAGGTCAGGCACTCACTGAGGATGTAGCTTGTAGAGAGTCCCATCCACGCCCACTGTCACTTTGAGAGTGTCCAGCCCCCGGTTTTCTCGTATTTTGTCCACAACGGCGGCCATGCCTGCGCCACAAAGCTGGGCTGCCCGCCGTGCCACCACAGTGCACACCTCCTTCACAATGATGCTGTCGTCACAGGTGCCCTCGAGCCCCAAGTGGTGCAGAATGGCGCGGACCTGCAGCAGGGCCAGGCAGTCGCTGAGGCGAGAGGGAGATGGCAAGCGGTCAGTCACAAGTAAGAGGGGCTGGTGGCCTGCCACCCCAGGGACCAGCTCCTTTATTAGGAGAGGTTCCCTGGGGACCTAGCTATCTGGGAACAGGGCAGAAAGGCCGCTGCCCTGAGAGGTGGCTCCCGTTCTTGAACAAAGTTCAGGGTCCTGTGTTTGTCCCACTGGACCACAGAGACTCTTCCTGAGTGTGACAGCAACACTTAGAAGAAACAGCTCCCTGTTCCACTTTGCCCAGGCAAGGTAGGGCACTGCAACTACAAAACTGACACTCAAAATGGAAGGAAAGTCACTGTCGATGCATGCTACTCATTTAGAAATAATAAAGACAGTGATAATGCTTGTATGTGGCAAAGCTCTTCATAGCCATTTTCTCACTGGTATTCATGAGTCAGCAGGACAAGTACCAGCCCCCGACATTAGATCCCTGCTCTATTTCGACCCCTGCCCCCAACCCATGTTGTTCTCAGATCTACTGGTGTACTATTTACAGAACAAATGTAAATAAAATTGTAAGGAGAAAGAAATCCTATTGTATAAAGGGAACTATTTTAGAAGCCTGGAATCATCTTCTTGCACACAGACATGCCAACTAGAATGTATTCTTTCTATTCACCAGTACAGATAAATGCCCTAGGGCCCCACTCATATCAGTTGTCCAATTCCTGTTTTTCTACACAGCCTGTGAGGAATGCACAGCATTCATTTTCAAGGGGCTCTGAAATTCACTGCTCTCATGAGGCAGACTTTTCTACCATGAGACCAGAGGCCTTGTCTGGTGAGCGGCTGCACAGCGTATTTCTGCACTGCCGTCATGCAATCCTGGTTGCCCTTTTACTGTAGCTGACAGGTAAGAACCCTCCCTCTGAGCATAAATGCTTTAAAAGATTACCTTCCTCTGTGCATTCCAATTTATGCCTATGAGCATGTATCTATCTACCTTTGATGGTTAGTCTAAAACCCAACAATGTGACATTTTTTTCATGGGCTCATGCCAGCTCAGCACGATTTTTCACGAGAATGCTAGGTATTTGTCCTTAAAATACCAGCATCCATAAGATTCTTTACATAAGCATTATAGATACAATGTGTTTGCTACTAAAATGACCCTTAGGTAAGACATGACCTGATCTTACTTGAGCTATGGAAATCCTTCAGTCTGTCCATGTGAAGGTGGATATGGTCCCACCCTACACTGGGACCTAAATTCTTACCTCTCAATCTGAGACAGGAACTTGGTTTCAAAGATTCCCCTTGTCTTGAGCCGCTCTGAGATGCGGCCACGGAAGAGCAGCCCACGTTTGGTAAAATCAATGAGGATGTTTCGGACAATCTCACCCAAGTACATGCCACTGATCATTTTTTCGAACCTGTTAACGTGGGTAAGGTTTGTAGAGGTTAAGTAGGAAGGCGGTGGGATGTGCTGAGACGGCCAATGCATTAGAAGGTAGGGGCATGCAAATTTCCCATGTGGGAAAAGAAATGCTACTTGATTGATTCGGGCAGGATTTCTGGTGTGCACACACCACAGCCTTCATCAGAACTGACCACACTGCCTGAAGTCCCAGGAGGGTCCTCGAGATTGGCCCCACCTTCTGGGCTAGTCTCCTTTCCAAGGCTTATTCCCAATTCAAGAAAGAATCCATACCCAAACCCCACCACACTTCCAGGAAAAGGGTAGGACGCCGAGTCTCAATTCTTAACTGTACTAGGCATTTAGCATGATTTCTCTGCAATCTAATCAGTATCACTTCAATAACTAGTGCCAGCTAGAGACCCTGTCCTGCCACAGCTAAAAGTGGCATGAGGGTCTTTTGGCTCTGCACGCTGCCTCTAGAAAAGTTGGTCACCAGCTCCAACCAAGACCCCATAGCCACTCCATCTTATCTTGCCCCTTCCCCTTTAATGAATACATACACCTGTATGGCCTCTGAGGCCTTTTAGCCTGTGACCTCTGCTCTTGACAAAGTATATTCTGCAGAACTATGGTCTCTGATTAATCCCCAGAAGACACTACATACATCTTCCTAACATGAAGTGTGCTCAATCTTACACTTACTGTTTCTTGGCTCAGAGCTGCCCCACCCCACCCCACATACTAGGGGCTGGCGACTTGTCCAGCCCTGGCAATAGGGGGCGCCACACAGCGGCTGGATGGAGGAGGAGGAAGAGCTTGTTCCCCGCAGCTTCCTGTCCCTGTGGGTGCTGCCTGAGAGGGCTACACTTCTGCACCCTGGCAGCAGCCAGTGGCTCAACTGTCTGTTTTTCTTCACTGTCCGTAACCCAGATTTGAACACTCTCTGACCTGTTCTCAGTCGGGGTAGTGGGGGCCGCTTCTTACATTAACTCTGTGCTCCTCAGTGTTCCCTTTCAGTCTCTAAAACCTATGTGACCCATTCCCTGTAGGATATTCTCCTGGCAACTTCTAACTGTTGTGATTTGTTTTCCCAACTGGACTTTGAAAGCGTCATAGTCCAAAAGGGAAAAAGGATTTAACCCAGAACTTTCTCCAAGGAAATCTCTTCTATTAGCATCTCAAGCGAACGAGTGCCCTGGGATTTGCTGTGGTGAAGGATCTGCTCACTCATCACCCGCCAATTCTGTGGACACGTGCCAGGGCCACACGCACTCAGGTACCTACTTCTGTTTGCCAGGGTTGAGAGAAAGCTCATCCACAGCCACATCAAACTCTGTGCGTAAGTCATCTAGGCATCCGTTGTCCCCAAAGGCCCCCCACTCCATGTTGACACACATCTGCCCCTCGTCGCCGTCCACCAGCTCCATGTTCCGCATCTCCTCCATGTAGCAGGCATTGCTGCCTGTGCCTGCCAATCACACGAGGTCAGGGCCTCACCCAGCCCTGTCCTCCCACCCACCCCAAGCTGTGGGTCACAGCGCAGCAAGGACAGCCCAGGGCCTCACCCACAATGAGACCGACTTCACAGTGAGGGTCTTCATAGCCACAGGTCATCATAGTCCCGACTGTGTCATTCACCACAGCAACAACATCCAGGTCAAACTCCTAAGAGGGCAAAAGCAGACCCCCTAGTCCACAGAGGAACTGCAATATTCTCCCTTCAGATGCTCACAAGGGAGATTTATGTGTGTTTATCAGACCATCTCATACACACAACTCATTCTACTTTCATCAGGTCTCTGAACAAAGCCACTTCCTCAGAGCGACCTCGCTGGTTGTGCTATTTAAAAGAGCGCCCTTCCCTACCCCACTCACTCTGTCCTTGCACCACTTCATCCTTCATCACAGCTCTACTCCACCTGGCACAGGCCCACAGGTTTGTTTACATAGTATGAGAGTTTGCGGTCATTCCTGAGTCCCTGGGGCCAATGGCAGGGCTGGACATGCAGTGGACGTGCAGTCATTGCTGAGGGACTGAGTTAATTTTCCCCCTAACCAATGCAAATGTGCTCAACATCTCCCACACTTCCCGAACCAGACCAGTTTGGGCCTCATGCCATGTCTCTCCCACCTCTCGCCGGTGGATGGCTTCCTTCAGCAGGGTGACCACATCCTCACCCTCGCAACCAGACGCCTTGAAGCCTTTAGTCCACTTGAGGAGAATGCTCTAAAAATCACAACATGAGCATAGATGAGGATCTCAGAGAAGGGCTCCCAGGTTTCTCCCAGGGCACAGGCTGTGCCTCTAGTTCTTAATCTCACAAGTTATACAGATTCCATTTCAAGACCGATCATCTCATCCACAAAGGAGTCTTAACCTGTTTCACTTACTTGGATTTATTGAGCACTGACCATGCATGCGGCTCCATCATTTAATCCTCACAGCAAACTGGTGAAATATTTATCTATCATGCCCCTTTTATAGGTAACTGCAGCTCTGGAGTGATTCACCCAGGTCCCACAGCTTGTGGGAGGGGCGAACTCACCCCAGGCCCACCAACAGTAATGGTTGGGCCTGTAAGCACCACACCACTGCCCCTGCCTGTGACTTGAGTTCTATATACCTATTTATTTCACTGAGAAAAGCCATTTATTTACATCAGAAGGGTTGGAGTATATCTCTTCATTTCTAAACTCCATTGTGGAGTGAACAAGGGCCCTGCCCGTAGTTGGGATGACATCTGGTCTCACCACCGCCCAGTAAGGGAAGCACTCCAGGCTCCTCAGAGCCGCCAAAGCCTCTCACCTTTAACATGGCCCTTCGCCATGTCACAGGGCCCTCTGGGAGCAGATACCTGGTGACTTTGAACATGGAAGAACTTTCTCAAGAATGTTCCATGGTTCCCTCTTAGCTGCTGCAGCCCAGCAGAGAACAAGTGTCAAGAACTCCTAGCCCATTCCTGTGTGACCAGAATCCATAAAAGGGCTGTTTGCTTGCTTTCCACTCACTTTCACGGCTTCTGCAGGTCTTGCTCAACTGCTCATGCTCACCAGCCTTGCATTTCATGGCCCAGGAGTCTGGTATCACAAGTCAACTGGGATATGTCACACTGTGTTCAGATCCCAGGAGATTTGGAAAAACCAAGTACTATACCAGTCAGTGCTCTGGTCTACATACCTCCATCCAAACAACTGTGTGCTTATCTCCACTGAACTTTATTGTGTACAAACTAGCTTCACATCTCTTGACAGAATTTTCTATTTGGCACTCTCAAGTTTACAGAATGTTCAAGTAACATTCCAAGTGGTCCTTAATAAGACATGCAGAGACCTCGAGCGCCAGGGAGACTTGCCCCAGGCCACCAGTCAGTCAAGGCAGCTGAAGACTTCTGGGCCTCAGCATCTAATTTTCCCGTAACAGGATGGCCTCACCAGAACAGAAGCCTGCTTACAGATAAGATAGAACAACAGAACCTGGCTTCTGCCTTACTGCTCTGACTTTTTACAGTTCTAGACTGAATACATGCTCCTTGCAGAAACTTAGAACACAGGGAATAAATCTAATACAATGACCTAGAATCCTACAGTTCAGGAAGAAACAGCTAATGTGTCTTGGGGCCACCTGATAAATATATAAAGATAAATACATATTCGACATGAAGAGCAAGATGTGTGTGCTTAAAAATATTTCAGTAGGAAAGTGTAGATGTATATATACTGGAGTGTTGTATTTCTATCTTCCTATTAATCATATTTTTGGTATGTTTCTTCAGAGATAATATTTTTCTTAAAAGCTTTTAGTTTTAATACCAGTATTTTCCCATATCACTGAAATTTCTTTAAAAAAGCTAGTTGCAGCTATGAGGCAGTAAATGGCTCATAATTTGTTAACTATTTCTTGACTGTTGAACCATTAGATTTATTTCAAATGTCTCTGTTATAACAAGTAATGTTTCATTAAATATCACATAACTATTTATCCACATGCTTGATAATTCCCTTTGGGAAACTGATGCAAATGAGAAGGTTGAAATCCCAGTACACTGACACTGAAAAAAATAATATGTTGAGGCAAAGGAATTAGAAAGCTTATAGAGAGGGAATTGGAGGAAGGGGTCAAAAGGTACAAGCTTCCAGTTATAAGACAGGTAAGTACTGGGGATATATGTACTGCACAGCAAGGTGCCGACAGCTAAACTACTCTGGCATACCTGAAGTTGTTAAGAGTTCTCATCACAAGAGAAAAAAAATTTTTTTTTCCTTTTCTATTTTCTTGCATCTATATGATATGATGGACATTATTGAAACATCGTGAAGATCATTTCATGATCTAGGTTAAATAAGTCAAATCATTATGCCGTATGTATTAAACTTACATTCTGTTACATGTCACCTCAAAACTGGAGGGAAAAAAAAAGAAAAGAAGAGCTGAAAGCAACACTGAACAAATGTTGATTGATATATGTTTGGAAACACTGGGTTAGGCAGGGTTTTTTCTTTGCAGGAGGTCCTAAACCTTAACTGTACTAGTACATCTGGTATATTTAGCTCCCAGAGGGGAGGAAAAGGAAGCATTTACAGAACTCAGCTGAACAACATGGGCTGCTGTGCCAGGGACCTTGTAGGCAATGTTGGCTTTTTCTTACCACTGGGCCAGCTCACAGTACCTGTGATTTGTCCCACCTGCATGCCCTTCTCCTGCCTGGCCTGCCCGCCTTTCTTCCCCATCAACTCCTTCTGACTTAGATGATCCAAGTATCCCTCATGCTTTCCAAGCATAAGCTCAGTTTAACATCACACGGCACATCCTCAGGGCTCTGGCATCCCACTGGTGCCACACTCCAAATAGCAGCTCTTGCTTTTCTGAGCTCCCTTCACCAGCCCAGTTGGTCTGTAATCACCTAAAGCAGGAACCATGTCTTTTGTACCTGGCAACTCCGTCCACAGCAGTGTCCACTTGTAGCACGCATAAAAGCTTCTAGACCAACTGAGACAAAGGAACAACTGCTTAAATAACAACATTATAGCATTCTGACATCTAATTTACCAGTCATTGAACCAGGTCAAGCCCAACCATAACCTATTCAGGTCTCCTACGCTTCTCAACACACCCACATCCCAAACTGGGAGCACCAGATCTGCAATCAACTGCTTCATTCTTCCAAGGCAAACTGAAAGAGAATGAAAAGCAAAGGGGGGACTAAAGAAGTGCCAGGGCATCTAAACCACAGGACATGAATGAAAATGTCCTGGTCCTAAAACGAGTGCCTGAGGGGCAGTTGAGCATAATCAAGAGCATGGGCTCAAGCATCAGGCAAAGAGACTTCACATCTTGGCCTGGCCACTCCTAAGCTTTATCTGGTGCAAGGTACTTGGCACCTCTATAGAGATGCTGTTTTCCTTTCTGCAAAATGGGTATGTGAACACCTACCTTATATGGTTGCTGTGAGGGTTATATGAGAGAGCGCACATAGGAAGCCTAGCATGGTCCTGGCATAGAGTGCCTAAAAAATATAGTTAATACTGTGATTGGCATCATCCCAAAGACTGTTTCCTACTAGACCTACACCAGCTCTGACTTACTCACCAGGTCCCTCCTCACTACTGGTCACTTATGCCCTTCTTTCTCCCACTCAGCTCAACTTTCTCCCCTGCCCCAAACCCTGGCTGGTTAGAGTCAGCAAAGGAGAGCTGTCCAAGAAGGTACCGTTACCTCATCCAGGCTGTTCTGCTGGCAGGGGAAAGAGAAAGTGAAGCCCAGAGGCAGTGACACACCCTTCATGCCCATGTACTCAAGGAAGTCAGCGATGCACTGGACAATGTGGTCAAAGAGCTGCAGGGAGAAGGTGGGCTCTGAGGGAGGGTGCCCAGGCCAGGGCACACTGCCCCCCCAGGGTCTGAGCACAAACTCAAGGGCCCCACCCAGAAGGAATGCAAGCTCAGGCACAGACCTGAGGAAAGACCAGGATATGGCCCTGGCCCACATAGCCTTCCCCGGAACCATGGGTGAGAAGAGACAGCACTGTCCTCCCCGGTGAGAAGTGGGTCCCCTACCAGAGGTGCCACCCTGCCTCACCTCATCCCCAGTGCCATGCATGACCTCCTGTGGGATAGAGTAGATCTTGTTGTGCATCTCCACGCCACGTCGCTTCCCATTTCGCACACGCACCAGCAGGACCCGGAAATTGGTTCCCCCGAGGTCCAAGGCCAGGAAGTCACCTTTCTCTGGAAAACAGACCCAGAATGGCGATGTGTCAGGGCATCACTGCTTCACAACAGCAGACGGGGAGCATCTAAAGCACCTTCTACTGATGGGGAGCTCTCCTGGGATCTCCTCCACAACTCCTGGTGATGGACTATGAGATCCAACTAACAAAAAGTAAGATCCCTGGAACCTGTTGGCTTCTAAGTGGTTCTCATGAGTTCAAGTGACAAGGCCTCAGAAGTTCCAATGGGCTCTGCAGGACATGGGAATTAGCAGTACATACACTCAAAGATATCCAAGCCTGCCATTCATGCTGAACTGAAGGCCACCTTATGTTAGGTTCTAGAATAAGGAAGGAACAGCAGAGTACAACTCTTTAAAGGAAGTTCAAGGGAAATCTTATTAAATGAGAAAACCCTCCTTTGTTGGCCAATCAAAATGTGCTAGATGCCTCACACACAGTCCCCAGGCAACCCTCGGGTAGCCCTGGCAGGGAAGCTTGCATTCTCGTCTGAAGGAGTATCAAGCCCTGGCTGAGCTAGGCTGAGTCACTTGCTCAGAGCCACACAGCCAGAAGGGGGTTGAGTAGGGACCAAGTCCCAGCCTCTATGCCTGGAACCTGTACCAACTGCGCCACGATGGCCTGCTCAGTGATCATTTTCTCTGCATTGGGAAAGACTGCCATTTCTTGGGTTGCAAGACCTAAACCAGGGGTCAGTGATCTTTTTCTGCAAAGGGCTGAGCAGTAAACATTTCAGGGCCTGGGAATCATAGTATCTGCTGCAACCACATGAGTTTGCCGTGGTTGTGCAAAGTGACCCTAAACAATATGCAGACAAAGGGGCATGGATGAGTACTAATAAAAATTTACAAAAATAGGCACTGGGGCCAGATTTAGCCCATGGGCCTTACTTTGCCAACCTCAGACCTAGGGCTTACAAGAGCTGGCCCCTGGAACCAGAATTCCTGGGTTTGAATACCAGCTCTGCTGTTTTCTGCCTTGGGTGGGTTTTTTTTAACTCTCTGTGCCTCAGTTTTGTGCCAAACATAACAGTTTGTTAATAAGCAAAATGAACTACTAATCTCTGTAACAATTAAAAATGAAATGAATTCATATACGTAAAATGCTTAGAGGTGTGCTTAACATATTATAGACAGTCAATAAGTATTTACTATTATTACTGTTCAATTCTTAGCAGAGGAATGAATTCCTTGATGAACACTCGAATTACCCTGTACTCTATTTGAAACATGCTCTGTCCTAAATACCCAATGCTAAGGCTAAGGGAGACCTCTCGGAGCATCAACACCAGGATGAGGGCCCACCATGGTGAGCTGGGTGGCAGCCCTGCCAGGTACCTGTGCCATCAGGGGTAGCACACACGTAGGTGGGCAGCATCTTGACGGGGGCAGTGGCATGAGTCTCCTTGCTCAGACCCCGCTCCATTTCTACTTTCATCCTCCTCTTGACCTCCAGCAGCTGCTCACGGCTCAGCTTCAGAGGCTCCAGGGTCTTCTGGCGAACTCGATGTTGGTCAGCCAGCCGGTGGGCCACTGCCGTCACCATGGCTGCCCCCTTGCCACTGCCATCTTCGGAGCGGAGGAAGCGGACATCACAGTCGGGTACCAGGCGCCGCACGGTCTTGTGAAGGCGCTTGGCGAAACTGCAGTCATGGAGATAGGGCATGAGACAGTGTCCATGGTTATGGTCAGTGGTACACATGGCTGGGGCACCAGCTCACCAGCCCACATGCCAGGAGGCACCTGCAGGAGTGGAGATCCTCTCCCCACACTTTCCTAAGTTTAAGGTGACTGTATAAAAGCTCAGATCTTCAACTGTGACCACCCTGGCTGGGCTTAATGCCTGCTGAAAGGATCCTTCTAGGATGCCACTATCCCCTGTGTGCAGTCACATAATATTCTTCCCACAGGCCACAGCTCCTCTGCCCAATATGTCAGCCCTTTGCTGGAGCAGCCCAAAGGAGTCAGGTGATTCTGACACCAACCGCCATTCACGTTCCATTACTCATTTCACTCGATGATGCCTGGGAAAGACCCAAAATAGAAATGGTAGAAACAGTCTTCTGGACTCTGGACTCTCTTTGGCCAGTTTCTGCCAATGATCCCAAAGATGTCTGAACAGCTAAAGATAATAGGTATGTTCATCAAGAAGTTCTAAGTGGTGACTGCTGGGAGCCACGGTCCCCAGCGCTCCCCACTCCAGCTGTGGTCTGGGGGCCAGTGCATCAATGGAGGCTGTTAGAGATTCAGGATCTCAGACTGAACTCAGACCTTATGAATCAGCATCTGCCTCTTAACAATATCCCCAGGTGATCTGTGTGCACCTTCAAGTGTTTGAAGCACTGGACTTGGAAACTAGGGAATAATAGGGCTAAGACCTTCTGCATCAATTCAGTTAATGAAGGCCCATTGCCTTGGCACTCATATTAGGTGAAATTAATGGGATAATGAAGTGGGCAAAATAGAGATCTTCCATGTCTCAACTGAAATTTGAATATTTTGGTGCTTATGACCCAAGAGATCAAAACACAGAGTGCAGGGCAGGATCATTTCAATACCCAGGTCAGCCAGAGAGGCTGGTAACCCATGGGACTGGGAGTGCCACTGGTAGAGGAAATAGCACCTGAATGAGAGTCAGAGAAGCACATAGAAAGACACTATCTCTCTTATACAAGAGGGTGCCAGAAAGACCCCTGTGCCAGGAGAGCCCGAGTAGAGGCCATTGTTGGCAGCCTTCAGAAATTACCCCCACCAGGCCAGGGACAACTTGCCCAGTTGGGGGCTTTTTTCCTACAAAGCCCCTCAAATCCATGATCCATCTCAGCCATCCCCAAATGCAAAACAGAGTTGGCCTGTGAGGTCACTGGGGTCACTCTTGAGCCTGTCAAGGACCCCCAAGTGCTCTGGCACTCAGTCACTCCCAGGATGTGGACTCACTGAGGGTGCTTCTTGTAGACAGAGCCGTCAACCCCAATGGTAGAGCGCAGCCGCTCCTTGCCGGCCTTGTTCTCCTTGATGCGCTGCAGCACAGCCGCCAGCGTGGCGGCGCACAGGCTGGCTGAGCGTGTAGACACGATCTGGCAGATCCGGTGAGTGGCCACACAGTCCTCCTGTGTCGGGTCCATGCCCAGCCTCACCAGGACCTCACGGGCCGTCCGGACACCATCCTTCTCCCTGGGAAACAGGAAGGCAGCAGGTGGGCACATGTCCAATTCCCTGTGGCACAAGGGTGGCAGGCATGTGACCTGACAAGGAAATCCCTCAGCTCCAGCAAACGCCTCATCCCAGCAAGGACAGGTACCCACGTCACTGCTCAGCCCCCCATTGGCATAAAACAAGGTGGAGGCATTGGGGGACACAACACAGCCAACCTGAGGCTCCACTCCCAGACACACACACACACACACACACACACACACACACACAGTTTCACTGACTGAAAACACTGTATGTATGTGTAAGTTTGTGCTACGTCTGCTTGTCTTGGGGAACAGTACCTCTGCCAAACCACCTCCGGCTGTGTGTGGCAGCTGTGGAGCCCACCCTATTTTCTCTCTACAAAGCAGCCAACAGTCCACTGTGCTTCACAATGGACTGGCCTCTGCTTTATCTTGTGCTGAAGACGGTGTGAAAGCTGGTGCCAGAAGACTGGGACTCTTCTGAGGGGAGCTAAGTGCCTCACAAATGTGTGTGCTCTCATCCCCAGGCAGGCACAGTTCCTTCAGGAAGCTCCACTTAAACTCGGGTGAACTGCTTCGCCGCTCCCTTTAGTACCAAGGCACCCTCTCTCCACCACCTGATCCACCCAAAGGGCCTCCCCAAGCGACAAGTGAAAGTCTCGAGAACAGAAAACTAGGTCTAGCTCCTTGGATATTGTTCATTGAAAAACAAAAACCAGGCCATCCTCATTCCCATCCCAACCGCACTGTGAAAATTCAGACCTCAGCTCTACCTACTGGAACTAAATGGGTGAGGACCCAGCTTTCTGGGATGAAGCAGGAGACAGGATAGAGCCCTTCCGGCAAGAGAGTATGAAATGTCAGAGCTTCAGGAGAAGGGGAAGGAAATAGATGCAAATGAGTCATTAAGGGGTCCACTAGGAGCCTCCAGCATTAAGCCACACCCACGCCCCCATGGCCAGGCAGGAATGTGAGTGGAGTAGTCCTGCACACAGAGGCCAGGTGTTCCAACACCTTGAGTCACTTTGGTAGTCAGCACACCCAAAACGGACAAGACTATCTGGTAAGTGAAATTAAACCACAGGCCCGCCATGTCCCATCCTGAGCAAGACTCTCTTGCTGTCCACATTCTAATGTCCAGTGCCTTTACTCATTCCCCAACTGCCTGTCCACTCTTTTGGGGACCCAGTGAACAGAGAAGGCCCCAAAAGCTTACCCTTCAATATCGGAAACATCTTTGGTCTCAAAGTGGCCAGTGGTGAGGAGTTCCGGGCTGAGCTTCCCCCCGAAAAGCAGCTCCTCCTTGGCCATTTTCACCAGGATAAGCCTCACCAATTCCCCCATGTACATCCCACTGATCATCTTCTCAAATCTGTAGGGAGATACACACCATAAAATCAGTAAATTCCCTGCTGTCAATGAACTCACAGCTCCCCTGTGGAGGCAGCACGTACACACAGGGCAGGCACACAATTAAGTGTTAATGTGTGTGGCACTGACTGGAAATGAGGTGTGCAGAGAAGCACAGGCTCCAGCGGGGCAGGAGGGGCCAGGGAACTGGGGCTTTCTCTGCAGCGGCACGGAGTGCCTTTGGCAGCCAAACTACACATCCAGAGAATGTGGAACATTCTGGAGCAGCCTGAATTTTAGGTAAAGTAAGGTACATGTAAGGTAGTGCTTGTGTACAAATTTTTCTCTAGCAAGGAAATGCGTTTTTAAAATGAACCTTATATATAGAACCTCAATATTTATTTACAAGAGGAAAAGGAAGTCAGTCTGATTAAATGTGGGGGACAGGCCCAGCAACTCATGTCCTTGTACTGCCCCTCCCCTTGCAAGGACATTTATGGATTCCTAAGAAAACAGCATGAAAAAAAACCCTGGGTGGAGCTGATGGTGTGATGGAGCAAGATTTGAGGGCAGGTTTGGACAGGCAGGAAGGAGGTCTAGGTGTCAAATGGTCTCAGGAATCTGGGAGTGAGACATCTTGGAAGTTTCTGAGCAGGCAGGTGACAAGACAAAGGCATGTTTTAGAAAAGCAGAGGCATGTCTCCAAGCTGAGGGTATTTGGGTAGTTTATTTTTTCAACACTAGGTGATGCTGTTTTCTTTAGAAGATAGTCTTTCTGGCTCACACAAGGTAACCAGAGAAACCAAGCCCTTAAAATTCTTCTTGGCCAAAATTAGGCCCTTTCTTGGTAGCTCAGAAAGGATTTGGGTCCTAGAGAGAAGAGGCACCTAGAGCCTGTGGGCACTAACTAGGCAGCGCTTCAGCGAGGAGGCCCAGAGCAAGGGTGTGGAAGGGAGGAAGCCAGGCCCTCAGAAGGTAACTTGCTCAAGACCCAAGGCCAGGTATGGCAGAACTGGAGCTAAGGGCAGAGCTGGCCAAACTGCTTGAGCAGAGGGTGCATTTAGCATGTTTAAGCACCAGCTCAGGCACACTGCCTGGGAGGCAGCCTGGCTTCAGGAGTGAGGGACTCAGGTGTCTGCTTCTGCACTTGTCTGAAATATCTGGTTCTATGGGAGGAGATAAGGGGAGGGGGCCAGTGGGGCTCCGAGGTGTGGGTCGTTTCTTAAAGCTTTTATTCCAGTTTTTAAAAACACTTTGTGTTAGTCAGTGTTTGGAAAATATTTATTTAGAAACAAAGAGTGAAGAAAAGTTCCCGCATGAGCCCGATCATGACTTCAGGGCTACCTTGGCTGACACGTCAGTATATGTCCTCCCGTGACTTATCTAAGGCTAAACCAGCAGTATGTTACTAAGAGCGGCCTGGCAATTCTGTCTCCTGACACTTCAAAGGGCATAGAGCTCCTTAGAGTGGCTTGGGCATGCCTCATTCATGGAAGCATTGAGCAAGTGACTTTTCAGTCCATTAATTTCCCACCATCCACAGGCAGACACAGCCAGTATGTTCCTATGAAAGTTATAAGTAAATGGACTCACATTTCAACATATGAGAGAAGCTTGTGACTTAAATAAACCATGCTTTGAGGAAGCAAGGACTTTCCCAGAAAGAAAAGGCTCCCTACCACCAAGCTGGTGAAAAGCTGTCTTGCACAAAACATTTTTGCAATTGCCCACAGAACTTGCAATAATCCTGTTTCAAGATCTTTAATGGGAATTGGCAAATGTTTGTGGGAGTGAAATAATGGTTTCTGAGTCAAAACCAAGTTTGACCAGGCTGGAAAGTATAACATTCAAGGTCCAAAATGTTGGAGGCCCTCCTCCAGTCCACCCAGGAACCTGGCTGGGCCACGGGTCCAGGGAGGGCCGCCAAGGAGGTTCCTTAGCCAGCTTTTCTGCAGGCCTCGAGTCTACCTGCAGCCAGGGCAGGAAGCACTGGAGCTCTGTGGGGTCCAGCCTTTCTCAGGCAGCTCTACGGGAGGTCTGAATCAGAGCCTCAGCCAGTAATTAGGAGCCAACAGTCACAGCCTCATCCTCTGGGCAGTGACCAGGGTGGGCGCCACAGAAGGAGCTTTCAGAGACCCTAATCTTGGCCATCTCAACCCGAATCTTCTTATGTGGCCCACAGACTGTTTCTAGGGACAACTTACAAATTGAAGGTGGAAAGAAAGAACAGGACCACACACTCAGAATGTTACATAAAATGACTCTTCTGGAGGACAGCCTCAGTTCCCAAGCCCACCCCCACACCGGGGGGCGCGCTGCTCACAGCTGCTTCCCAGGGTTCAGGGAGCCCATGTCGATCTCCTGGTCAAACTCAGTACGGAAGTCGTCAAGCACGCCGTCATCACCAAAGGCCCCCCACTCCATGTTGATACACATCCGCCCCTCGTCACCCTCCACCATGTCGATGTGCCGCATCTCCTCCATGTAGCAGGCATTGCTGCCCGTACCTGCCAAACCAAGGGGCTGCTCAGCTCCCGCCCGCACATCCTCTCTGGAGCCCCCTCTCCTTCTTAGCCCACCATCCTGAGACTGCCCAAGGTGGCTGGGATTCTTCAGAGCAGGCTCCCGGAGCATCCCAACACGGTCCAATACACTGCCATCCCCAACCCCAAAAGTCCTGGCTCAGCCCTCCCACATGATCGTACCATCATCATCAAAGAGAAAGCACAGAGGAGCATCCAGGCCATGGACGCCTCCTCTCCTCCTGGCTCCTATGCCCACAGCCAGCCCACGCCGGCCCTGACACCCAGGGCTCACCCCCGTCATCTTCTAACAGGAAGCACGAGGACCACCCAGGCCAATGATGCCTCCTCTCCTCCCGGCTCCCACACCCTCCGCCGGCAGCACCGGTCCTGACGCCCAGGGCTCACTCAACCCCATCATCTTCTAACAGGAAGTACGAGGACCACCCAGGCCATGGACGCCTCCTCTCCTCCAGGCTCCCACGCCCCCCGCAGGCCTGCACCAGCCCTGACGCCCAGGGCTCACTCACCCACAATGAGGCCGATCTCGCAGTTCTGGTCATCATAGCCACAGGTCATCATGGTCCCAACGGTGTCATTCACCACAGCCACAATATCAATATCAAAGTCCTGCAGAGATTAAAGGGGTCTCTGTCCTTCTCCATCACAGACAGGTCCCAGAAGATAGAAGACCAGCAGGACACACAGCTCAGGAGCAACAGGGCTGCCCTTACCAATCCTACTTGGAGCCAGAGCAGGTTGGAGCTGGAAACCAGGTCCAGAACTAGTCTTACAGAAGCGACTCACTACCCACCCTGCTGTCCTCACACAGAGGACTGCAGCGCTATGGTCTAGTTTACAGCCATCACTGTGCTGAGATGAGCCCATCTTGTCACTGTCTCCTTCTCTTTCCTCGTTTCTTTCTCCCTCCATCCCCATGACTCCTTCTGCAACAATTCCTTTGTCTTGATGTTCTCTCTGCCCCATTCCACCCTAATGCCAACATCATCCCAACTTTACTTGAAAATGATATTCAAGTCTTCTTCGGGTTAAAGACTAAAGGATTTCTCTTGCACCAAGGCTAAGTGCTCTCTATCCTGCTAATCAGGAGACCCCAAAGATATCTGATCTTATGTAAGCTCACTGGTGTGGTATAATCATTTTGCAGTATATGCATGCCAAGTCATTATGCAGTATACCTCAAACTTATACAGCACCCTATGTCAATTATACCTCTATAAAACTGGAAAAAAATTAAAAATTAAAAAATATTATTGGGTAGGCATAATGGGAAGGAAGAAAACCTCTCTTTAAGACCAACAAACAATTCTCACACTGACTTGAGGACAGACTGGGAAAGACTTCAGAATGGACCCAAAAGAATGTAAAGAGCCTCTGGACCCAAGTTCCTGCCTCCCCACCCCTGCTCCCCCTACTCACCCCTCTCCTCTGGATGGCTTTTCGGATCAGAGTAACCACATCTTTACCTTCCACACCACTGGACTTGAACCCCTTGGTCCACGACACCAGGAAACTCTGGAAAAAGACCAAGGAATGAACACCAATTCCTTACAGACTCAGACCATACCCCCAAACAATCACTGGTGGAGAATTCTGCCACGGGGCTTAAGTTTAGTGCACCACTGCTTCCTGACTAGCCTAGGAAGGAGAGACTAAGTTCCCACCAAAGAGCCAGAAAGGAGATCAAATGAATTATTCCTTCAGGATCTACTGCCCCCAGGAAGTGGAAAATGCAGGTATAGGACTGCCAGAATAAGATACTGTACCCTTTCGTCATTAACTCCCCAGACATCTTTCTTCTAAGGACCTTTATAATACTTTAGATTAAAGGAATTCCTAACTATTTTCTCATTCCTGTTTCCCTAAGAGAGATATGACAACATGCAATGTGTGTGGGGTTGCACTGTCCTTTGAGGAGAGGGTGATGAAGACCTCCTTCTCTGATACTTCTTCACACCCACACACACTCACCCAGGACACAGCTCCCACACTCAGACCTCGTCCACACCACCATCAGAGCCATCTCCAACATGACAGCAGCAGGTGGCTCAAGAGTTCTTCCCAGTCCTCCTGCCCGAAGAGTGAAGCACAGAAGTATACAAACAACTCATCTTACCTCGTCTAGTTTCGTCTGGTGGCAGGGGAATGAGAAGGTAAAACCCAAGGGGAGCTTCTTCTCTTTGATTTGCAGCTTATCCATGAAGTTAGCCAGGCATTCGGCAATGTGGTCAAATAGCTACGGGCACACAGCACAGGAAGATGAGCAGGGAGGCAGGATAACAGAGATGAAGAGCATCGGCTTTGGCTCAGAAAGTAACTAGTCTAATGTGTGCAAGCTATGTATCCCTTCTGAAGTCTTAATTGCTTATCTGTAAAATAGGGGTGATAACTATAACAGCCCTCACAGAGTTACCAAAATGATTAAATGAGTCAATACATATAAGAGCATAACATTAGTGCTTATTAAATACTATCTTCCACTTAAGCGATTTATCCAAACCACTGTCAAAAGAAGACTGTGAGGTAGGAGAAATCACAGCCAAAGCTAATAAGAAAGTCATCTCATGCCCTGGGAATAGAACATCCTTTGGTGGCACTGTCAGAACCCTCCTTGACATGGATGCACAGCTGATGGTCTTACCAGAAAGGGCAGCTCATCTCACTGCCAAGAAGTATTTTAGCATCCCCATCTCTTGTGAATGGGGGCGGGGGGATGGGACATTCTCTGTTGGCATTCTGATTGAATGTCAACAACTTAATAAAAATATAAGTAACTTTTAGATTTTTCCTCCACTCCAGAAAACTACTTTCCTGGGGGCAATTCAAATAAGCTATCTTTTTTTTTCTATCTTCAAAATGGAACACCCAGTGAGCCCATGAAGAGTGCTGAAGAATGAACAGAGTTTTGTGGATGGGCAACCTCACAACCATGCTAAGAAGGACCTGCAACTCCTAAGAAAAATCCTACACCTAAGAAAAAGCTGTATTTACAGTCACCCAGGCTTTCAATCAATCCAAAACCCACAGACCCATGGCTTCCTTTTGCCTACCCAGCATCCTCAAAGACAAGTTGGTGACACCTTCAGGTGCTTAAAGACTGAGGCCAGGGGCGCTGAGGTGCAAAGTGTAAGCAAAGGTTGACCAGATGGCAAAGCTCTAAACCCAAAGTGGGTGGAAGAGGACCACATTCCTTTTCCTCTCCAGGCAGGAGCAAGAGTCTCCACTAATCCAGCATTCCCGAAGTGTGGACCTGGACCAGCAGCATCCCCACCATCATGTTAGAAGTGCAGGTCTTAGGGTCGAAACCCAAACCTGCCAAATCAGAAATTGTGGGGTTGGGCCCTCAAAGTGACCCTGAAGTAGTGGCTTGAGAACCCCTACACTAAACCACAAAAAGTATTTGCATTACAAGGGAACTGAGAGGCTGGGGTGGCAGGTAGATTGAGAGGCCCACCAGCTCCGCAGATATCTGGAGTATGCTCAGTAGAAGGGATCCAGGAAGACAAGGCCACCCTCACATAGGTGGGCAGCTCTAACTGAACTTCCTGCACCAGTCCCGTCCCTCTATCTGATCACATTGCAAAATTAACCTCAGCAAATGCTGAAACTCAATCTCCAAACCAAAACATTCTCAACAGCAAAGGCAGGCAGTGACAGGGCTCACTCACCAGTACACAGATGTCAACTCCCTTAAGTAGAGGGCAAGTATTTTAATATGTAAATAGGGTATCTAGACACATAGTCAGCAAGTTCTATTCTTCTGATGGGAAGCTGATGGAAGCCAAAATTTACAATATGGTTAAACAAACCCCCAGTACCTTCTGTTGGTACTCTAGTCAAAACAATCTTTAGTGTAACTAGTTTTTATCCAGAAAAAGAAAGTTGCAGAAGCTGTACAAAGAGATGAGGCCAATCACCAGACATGGAGGGAGTGGGAGCTTTCGAAGGCGGAATGCGAGATGGTTTCCCCTCACTCATTCCGGTTCACTGTTCTCTTCCAATTGTGCTGCCAACAGGAAGAGGCAGGAAAAAATAAAGAGAGACAATGAACAGGCATTAAATAATGCACTGCCCAATACAGTAGCCACTAGGCATCTACAGCTATTTCAGTTCATTAGAATTTTTAAAAACTGAAGTCAGTTCCACATTCCAAGTGCTCACTACAGTACTGAGTGGCTCCCATGAGGCACAGGGCAGACCCAGAACAGTCCCAGCACTGTGAGAAGTTCTACTGCACAGCACTGGGTCTGAAGACCCCACACCTCTTTCAAGTAGAACAGCAGGGCCGTCTGTGCCCCTAATCGGAAGGCTCTCTCCTTTTCTGTTTGCTGATGATCTAAGGATAAGATAGTGGGAGAAAGAGCTAACACCTTCCTGCCATAAAAAGGCTCAAAGGGCATCATTTTATGAAGTTAGAAAGGTTTTCTTTTCCTGATGATTCTGAGAACCTGCTCACTCCCTTTCCCACAAGGTACAGTTGAAAAATATAAAGTGACTGCTATTCCAATTTGAGATTCACTGCTCTCAGGTGGAAGTTCATGTCCTCAAAGACACACTTGATCCAGGAACCACACTGCTCTGGTTCACAGATCCTCAGAAACCTTTACAAGTCTAGGGCTTGGTCACTTGGGCCCGGTTTTATTGAGATTTTATCTTTTAAATCCATTTGTTCTCCCCCAGTTAAAAAATTGAGACCTAATATCAAAACTAAACAGGTAAATATGGAGGAGAAAATATATAGTGCCAGTAATTCCACTACTAAAATAGCTACTATGGATTTTCTTCTTGTCTTTTTGCAAGTACCTTCTGCTGCTTTAAGGAATATAATATTCTTTCTCTTCCTTAGGGTGAAATAAACACCTATATTGTCTTCCGGTTTTCTTTATGCTTCACTTTTATATAGCATTTTTTCCTTTTATTTGACACCTTTTACTATCACAATAGTTTTATAGTTTCTTCCAGGTGGGTGTCATAGATTTTTTTTTAATTTGGACCACAACATTTTGTTCACATACACTGGAGCTGGGCGACAGCTGTACTAGAGCTAAAATCTCAGAGTCCCGGGGCTCAGCCTCCCTTGTCCACTCCAGCATCAAAACCAGGAAAGCAGGTTTACCCTCCAGGCCACCTCCAAGGACATATAAATAGTCTAAAAATATCTTCCTCACATGTTCTACTCATGGTCCGAAATTCCTTTCTCATGAGGTAGCCTTGTGTGCTGGGCAGAGCAATGGACTAAGGAGGATCCATCTCTTCTAAGATCTGAGGCCAGAGAGGTGACCATATTGGAGGGGCATCTTACTTGGATTTCATTTCCTCCATTCACTCTCACTGAGCACACGCCAGTATAAAACACAGAAGGCATAGCCAGCACTCAGCCAAGTGATCTTTATCTATAGCTCTGCTAATATCCAGGAATGTCTCCAGAGATTCCTATCCATGGACTCAGAAGAGCTGGGGAAGGAGCAGAAAGAATTCCCCAAGGAAGGCTTTTGTAGAGCAAGTGAAATAGGACACCTGTTTCCCTGGAAGCCCAAGAGCAGAGAACAATGGCTGCCCCCACAGCCAGCACCCAGCAAGCCAGCACATACTTCCGCTGCAGTGGTAACGAGGGCCTTTCTGTGAGCGGGCTCTTGTGGGGGAGCTCCTGAGAGGCAGAGTCCCCAGAGGGCCTGGCCCGTGGGATCTCATGTCCACAGGAGGACCAGCTACTTTGGCGAGAGTATCCCACTCTTGAATCAGAGGCAGGGAGCCGGGACCCAGGACCACCGTGTTGTCTGACTCCAGAAGCCCTGCTCACCTGGGCCACATCACACGGCCTGCAAAGTGGCTGGAGCCCCGTGGAAGTGTGCCCCAGGCTCTGGTCCCACCGACCTGGCTTTGTGTGTTGCCTCTGGCCCTTCCCTGTGATCCTACCCCTGTGATGTAAGGCCAAGTCACTCAAGCTTTCAAAGCCCAATTCTCCATCTATAAAGTGAAGGTAACAGAAGCACCCAGCCTCACAGAGCTCAAGTGAGGGTAAAATGAGGAAATCCATACAAAGTGCTTTTGCTCAGCCTGACACACACTAGGTCATCTTGTGTCAGCTCCTCCTCCTGATGGTTGCTCCTCTGCTTCAATACAACATTTCTTACTTTCTGGGGGGTCCAGCAGTGGTCCAGCTGGGCTTGAAGCCCTGGCGAGGGAGGACCAGGACTTTGATTCCCTCTAAGAGTCAGTGCACTGTGCATAGTAGATGCTCGATACCTGTTTGGAGACCATGATGATAGCAATTCCATCCTTGCTAACTTTTCCTGGGTCTTACTGACAGAATTCTTATTTGCATCTCACATCCCTTCTCCATCCACTCCTTCCATTGTTTAGATGCTGAGTGCAAAACGTGGCTCTCAAAGCCACCAAGATATGGGGGTGAGAGTAAGCACGATGCAGGGCTGGTGTGAAAGCACATGGTGCCCACTGTAGTGCCAGGGGGAACAGACATTCCAAAGCTGGAGCTGGTGTTTTCTCAACAGGCTCCCATCCCTGTGTGCAAAACCTCTCCTATTTTAAATAATCAAGAAGAGAGAGAACCAAGAACCACAAAGGCAAAGGGGCAGCTTCCTGTTCATGCGATGCTCTGTTTTTCTTTATGCTGACAACTGAGTCAAAGAGGACTTCACAATGACCACAGTAGCAGGTGGCAGTGTCAAACCATATATTCTCCTGACTCGCCATTCAAAGGAAGCACTCAAGCCAGTGTCCAGGAGTGTGGGTCCAACCTCCTTACAGCAGGCTTTCCTCCATAAGCAGCCATGCAAGCAGACCTCAAAAGAGTCAGCACATCCAGACCCCAGGGCCCATGCACATGCTCCCTGTTCTCTGGCCTATGTGCTCCTCTCATGAGGGAGGATGCCCACCCGAGCTCCAGGAACAGAGGGGATCACCAGACAGAGAGAGGCCAGGAAATCCAAGCCTCAGTCAGCATCTCCTTCCTCCAGACTAAAGAGAAGGAGTAGCATCTGCTCTGGAGGGCCCAGAGCCCAAGCAGCTGCCCTGAGAGGAGGGTTAACCACCTGGGTGCCACTGCCTCGCATGATGTCCTCAGGGATGGCGTATATCTGGTTCTCCATCTCAACCTTCTGGAGCCCGTTGTCCGTTACTCTCACCCGAAGCACACGGAAGTTGGTTCCTCCAAGGTCCAAAGCCAAGAACTCTCCATGTTCTACAGAGAGAGGAGGGCCGCTGTTAGTCGGGGAAGCCCAGATCCAACTACTTCAGAGACCAAAACTCAAAGTCCACAAACACAGGTCGGCTCTGAGAGACAGGGTGGCCAGTAGGTCTTACTTTTTCCTACACACATTTATGCACTGTCTAATTCTTTTTCTTAATGCTAAGCACTTCCATGTTACTTTTACAATTCACATCAACAATTAGACAGTTTCCCAAGGGCTTTCAGCCAAATCCCCACTGAGCTCATGGGGCCCACGAACCCCTGGACCTGGAGTCCCCCTCAGTTTTGTTCCTCGTGCCCCCAGAACACTCAGCACAGTGCTGCAAGACTATGGGCTCCTGGGCCCTCAGCCAAATTGTGATCCCTGCACAAAATCTACTTTTTAATGTTTGCATACAGTGATGGCCATGTCCTATGGCAGGATGACAGGTCACATGATTGAGTGGAACAGGGTCCAAACGGCTAAAATTAAGAGATCAAGCAAATAGCCAAGCACATGCCCACCCCCTACTCCAGCACAAGACCCAAGACTTATTCAAATGAGAGAGAATGCGGACCCAAGAGTATGTAAGACAAGAGTCAGGCCACTCAGCTAAGCCACAGAGCTGGGGTGGAGTGGGGAGGGAGAGACTCCACTGACATAAGTGGGGCAAGATCTTTAGGTGTCACCTGGAAGGCCCTTCTGTCCAGGAAATAAGCAGTGCAGACAGGAAACATCGAGATTCTAGACAACAATAAGGCTAGCTGCAGGGACATGCTCCATTGTATGGCACAGAATGAAAGTGCTGAGGAGGCGCAGAGGTCCAGGCTGGGGGCTGGCAGGGCAGGCCAGGCTGAGGGAGGAGCGGGGCACACCCTCTGCAGCCTCCTCTACCCACAATGGCTCCACCAGTGTCCCCTGGCCCTGCTGCACACCTTCTCAAAGCACACTGGACGATTTCCTGGGGGATTCACTTATTGGCATGGCAGTCGGCACTCAGCGCATTTCCTGGTGGGAGTCAGCCACTGAAGCAAGGTGGAATGGGTAGAAGGGTCAGAAAATGCTCTCAGGGAACCAACAAGGGTTTATTCTGTTCAGGTCCCCTCAGCATCAACAACTGCTTGGCCCCAAGAAAAGCTCCATCTGCCCAATGAGCTAAGGCCATTCACAGCCCCTGCAGTCAAGGGCTAACTTGGGGTGGATGTCATCCACTTGAGGTTCCATGGGCATGTGCCTCCACACCACAGTGGTCTGGTGGGAAAGCTATGCAGAGACTGGCTGGGAGCCCATCTTACCTTTGTCAGAATGGTTTGGCCATGGCAAGTTTCTGAGCCTGAGCCTCAGGAGCTTCATCTCTAACATAGGAGCATCATACCTGGCATGGCTGCTGTAAGGGCAAGGACTAGATAATGTGCCGCAAGCACCCAGCGTGGTGCCAAGGACTTAGGACACACTGGAAATGTTCCAAACAGGCTCTCAGCAAGCACTGCCTGGCACCACGCTTAAGCCCGCACACCCAGGGTCAGGGATAGCTCTCAGACAAAAAGGCACAATCAGCATTGCCAGGGGAGAAAGAAATCTGTCCCCAAAAAACCACTGGCATCTGCTCCAGCCACTTTGGCATTCTTCGTCAGGGGTGCTAACTTCCTGTTCCCTCTCAGGCATCTGGAGGGCACCCCCCAACCCCCAGCTGTAGTTGTCAGGTAGCTGGGGCAACCTTGACCCCGTCTGGGGTGACTCTGCCCCTCTCACAGCCATAGGCGACTTCTCTGGGCACTACAGTCTGAGCCTTCCCTGGTAGTGGGACCTCAGCCAGACTGCAGGAAAAGCTTCATGGTGGTTGTCATGGGGGATGAACAGGGAAAGCACAGATGAACTGCCAGCATCAGCACTCTGCTGCCCGGGACACTGCAATCCACTGGATCGGGGCCACCAGGGTCATGATTCTGGGCCATGCTGCCTCGGGTCCCAGGAGGGAATGTCATCCTTGCTTTCTTTTCAGGCTCCACCAGAACAGACATTCCTCCACATCCCTCCTCCCCGGCACCCCCTCTACAAACACACATGATCACAACCACCACGGCCAAGGACTGTATTTCTTCCAGAGTCTAGGATTGCTGAGGCAGATTCAGCACTCTTTAACTCCTGCAGCTAAATCCTGAGCAACCCCTCTCCTCGTGTTACCTCCACATCACTCACTAGAGGCCCTCATGGAGCAGCAGCAGAGAGTTGGACCTTAGAGATGGGCAAGCAGGCTGTTTTGAATTTCAGCTCAGCTGGTCCCCCTACCTGTGCAGCCTCACCAATCATTTAATGTCACCTATAGAACACAGGTCATAATGCTGACTTGTAGGACATGTCATATGTGAATATGCAGGTACACAGTAAGCCATCAATAAATGGCAACTGTCCTCATTGTTATTATTCTTTTGATTACATAAACTCCTCTCCTAGTTCTTCTCAGCCCCTCCAATCCCTGCTTCTCCTCCTACTTGTGGCTCAAGTCCTGCCTCCATTGTCAACCTTCTGGGACATTCCAGAAGCCCAAGCAGAGACTGTGTGATGGGTGTGAAGGAGGACCTCATGCATGGGGCTGGGTCAGTCACACTGGACAGGGAGGAACAAGGTACTAGGGCCAGAAAGCATGCCTTTAGCAGGTTTCTTAAGAAAGTACACAGCCACATGACAAAGGACCCAGTAAGGCCTGGGGAGATCATGCTACAGAATGATTATAGTTGGTATTTGAAGGAATGTATTATGAAAACATCTCATATTGCATTTGCTCACTAATGGTTCATATGCTAAATAAAATGTCCCCATGCCAACTGTGGTGTTTATATACAAGGCCATCAGGTCAGGGGTAAAGGACATTTTGAATTTTTGACTGGCCTCTTAAATTCCTTTTTCTATGATTTACCTCCACATCTTTTGCCTTTTCAAAATACATATTCACTGATTTCTTAATAACCTGAAAGAGCTCTTTGCACATTAAGGAAAATAGGTTTGTTTGATTGTATACTTCCGATGATTTTTTTCTAATTGGCTGTTTTAAATTCTGTTCATTGTATTTTTGCCATGCAGAAATGTTTAATCTCTGTTGTCAAAGTATTTATGGTTTCTCAGTTTTATGTTGTGTCTGTAGAAATTCTGAAGATATTAGCCTACCACATTTTCTAAATCTCTCTAATTCCTCTTAAATGTGGCCAACATTATTGCTAAAATAAAAGAAGCAAGGTTTGATTGTAGGTTTGCTTAAATGATCAATTCACCTCCTTTTTTCTTATGTGACTATTTTGAAAAATGAAGCCCAGAACCCTATCTTCATCTCTCTTATCCCCGGGGCAGAGTTTAGACTTTATCAATGGCATATGGATTATCAAAAGAAAGGGCAGATGTAAGGGAGATTTACTGACTGAAGGCCCTACATGTAAGTGTTTCTGATGGAAGAGAAATTAACATTTGTTAAGTGACGGTCACTTTGCTTATGAACATTATCACATTAATCCTCAACAATCCTGTTGGGCACTACAATCCCAGTTTTCCCCATGAGGAAACCAAGACTCAGGGCAAGTAACTGAAACCATGATTCAAATTCAGATCTGCCTCTCTAGCCAAGTTGTCTACTGCAGTGCATGAGAAGGCTGCTCACGGGTAAACCATAAATCCTCAAATATGAAACTCTTCATTAACAATACCAAAAGCATAAGACCCAGAGGCCAGCAGCAGCCTCCAAGCTGGCCTGGAAGGCAGAGGAAGTGACACTGGGGTTCAAAAGCTGAGTCACTTGGTAAAGGTCATGCATGGTTCGAACTCAAGTCAACAGGACCCCAAAGGCCAGGCCTGTCCCACTGCACCACACCCAGACCTCTCACTACTCTGGTTCCTGCAGGCTGAGGATCACCTGGCACAGAATCCAGGATGGGAGCAGATAAGCCATGAACTGATCAAAAAGAAGGTAAAGATGTCCTAATCTTTATCAGTAACTGTGGTCCATCCCCCTAGGCCTATTGGACGGCTAACTGCTCTCAGACAGAGTGGGAGTGGCAGACACATGTCCCCTGGCAAGAGGTGACACAGCCTTCTCCCTGGAGAAACCAAGGACCTAGTACAGCTTGTTGTTGCAGGCTTTTTTGGAAGGAACAAATCCATGCCACCCCACACAATCACACCAAACCTCTGCTGCCACCTCCCTGGCCATGCTCCAACCCTCTCTGGTGAAGGTGCCCGCCTCCAGAGGCAGACACAATGTTAGGACACCTATCTCATGGCTAGAAGCACACAAGCTTCCACGGGGAAGAGGCGCAGGCAGTGTGGGTATTAGGTCATGCCTCCTGCCAGCAAATTGCCCAATGGTTAAGATTCAAGTTGTTCCCTCTGGCAGAGTTGATTTGCTGGCTCATTTCCCATCCTGGACTACCATTCTGCTCACTTCCAGGGAGGCTCTTCTCAAATACAGGTCAGCAAGATAAAAGGGTTTCAGTTTCTCCTGGGAACTCACCTGTTTCAAGGAAAAGTGGAGGAAGACTAAAATGGCATTTTACTAACCACCTGAAGCTGATGACAGTCACTGTCCTCTTCATTGATACATCAGTATTGTATCTGAGCAGGCCATCACAGTGTTAAGAATGCTCTATCAGGTGGCCTGGTACCTAACAATGACCGCACTATTTTTGAGGGTAAAAGGCAAGGACCAGTTGAATTTCCCAACTAGATCTATTTTCAATCATTAGGTAGTTGCCACTAATTAAAACAGATCACCACCTGTTCCTCTCCTCAGGCACTTCCAGCAGTGTGCCAACCAGTGCCCTAAGAGTGACTTGCAGACAGGTTTGGTTTGCTTGCGTATTTGTGAGCTGCAATACACTTTTGTCACAGGCAACTGTGTTCACAAGTGGCAGCTCCCTGCCTAGTTAAGATGGGAGTGAGTCAGAGCCCAGATCCTTCACTGCAGGGCTTCTTCAGAACTACAAACCCCAGAGCCTCTTTTTAAGTAGGTGGCTTTTACACAGCG